TACTATATTTTTCAATTATCCTCATATTTTCTTCTTTAACCTTTAAACTATACCCTACTATAACAAAAGAAAGGGTTACTCGTGGTACACGTTTCGACCAATTTATAAAAAAGTTTTCTAATAAATCATCAGAAAATGATTCGGTTTTCGTATCATAAGGATAACACAACCTTAACTCGAATAACTTTTTTGGTGAATATTTCGCAATCACATCAAATAAATCCTTCTCATTTAAATAATTTTCCGAGAACCAAATCCCACACCAAACTTTAATACTTTCTAGTTGTCGACAATTATTCAAGATTAACCTTAACGTCTCGACTTCACCATCCAGAAATGTGGTGAATAATGATTTCATGTTTGGACAAAATTTTGCGATGGCCAAATTTAATGAATTATTCGTATCAATGTAAAATTCTTCCAAATTCTTTCCATTGTTCTCCAAGAATTTGGTCAAGTAATCTGATGCCGGACATTTATTCGGAAATTTTAAAACGCGCAATTTTGGAAAGACGACGTGTTGTAATTCTTCAAAATCCTCAAAAGTATATCCAGAATCAAAAGATAATAAGAGTTCTCGTAAATTTGTAAATTTGGAGATAAATAACACCGTTCTATAATAATACTCCCCATAAAGGTTTAACACGGTTAAATTTTCGGGAAGGTTGATTGCCGATGAAATGATATCTGCTATGTCTATCATATAATTATCATCATAAAAGATGCTCAAGCACGTAAGATTCTGTTGAGAGGAAATCAAATTCGCCAACCCGTCTGTAATATCACTTTCAACCCTTATCGTGAGTGATTGTATGTTATGACTTAGTAATGATATTCGATGAAAAAATTCGGAATAAAACGAACTAAAGCCCAACACCGTGAGATCTTTTAGACATTCCGTCGCTCCAGGATAAGTGGTGAATGGTATATTCGAAATGTAGTCTGAGCTAAAGTAAACGCTTAGTTCTTTCAAATAAATTTGTTTCATGATCATTTTAAATACTTCTTGCATGACCACACTTCGTGAAGTAACGGGGTGTTTGTTTCTAAGAATACTCGCAATCTTTCTGTCGATTTCATCAATCGAAATACGTCTGAGGAACGATACATAATTGAATAGAGGGGATTTAGGATAAGGGAATTGGATAACGATTTCATTCTTGTACAAAACTTCTTTCGATTTAGTAGGAAGACAAGCGACTAAAGTATTATAATTCCAAACGCTTCTCCATAAGATTCGAACAGAGACCTCGCACCAAAGACGATCAACTAATAAACACGAGTGTAGAGTAACTTTGTCTTCCAAATATTCAAGAATTTCATTTAAACAGTCAATAGGAAGTCGACACATTTTTTTTTTTTTTTTTTTCGGTGTATTGATAAAAAATAAATTTAACGAGTTTAAGTTATCAACAAAAAAAAAAAAGTGAAAAAAAAAGATATTTAATTGTTAATTGTGTCACCAACCCTGTGGATCGGTGGGTATTTTATCTTAATTTGGTAAAATTTAATATTCAATCAAACATCGTTTTTTTGACATATTTTGATTTATTAAGGTAATTATTGCGGTTTTACTTTTTGGAGAATATTCGAAAAGAAGATCCAACTATTTATATCGAGCCCTGTTTATTAACAAAAAAAATCATAACTACTGCGCCTTAACCAAATATATATATATTTTTTCCCGATAGGGTAATCTCTAATTTTCTTCATAATCCTTTATGATTTTAAATTTATCAATAACACCTAATTTAATATATTCTTCAATCACTTTCATGATTTCTTCCTTAACCTCTAAAATATATCCCACGATCATAAAAGAAAGTGATTTTCGTGGCGTACGATCCTTCCAACGTTGAAAAAAGGTTTCCAATTCAACCGAAGGTATTTCAAATTGTACATTGTATGGATAACATAACCTTAACTCGCAAAAATTTCTAGGGGAATGTCTTGCAACAACGTCAAACAACTCTATTTCATCTAAATAGTATTCTCTAAGCCAAACGCCACACCAAACTTTAATGATTTCCAGTCGTTGACAACTGTGCAAAATCGTTTTCAACGTTTCGACTTCATCATCCAAAAATGTTGTGAATAATGATTTCAAATTTGGACAAAATTTAGCGATGGCTAAATTTAATGAATTATCGGTAATGTCAATATCAAACTCTTCTAAATTCTTTCCATTGTTCTCCAAAAATTTAATCAAGTATTCATGATTCGGACATTTATTCGGAAATTTTAAAATACGTAAACGTGGAAAGGTAACATCTTGTAATGTTCGAAAATCTTCAAAAACGTATTCGTAATCAAATGATAGTATGAGCTCTCGTAAATTTATGAAATTAGTAATGAATAACAATGATTCATAATTCCCCGTCCCATTAATCTGTAATCTTATTAAGGTGGTTGAATGTTTGGTCAATAAAGGGACTATATACGATAAACACTTGTATGATTGGTGGATGGTCAAGTACTTTAAATTTTGTTGAACGGAAATTAGGTCCGCTAACCCGTTCGAAATGTCACTCCTAAATTGTATCCCAAGTGATTGGATGTTATGACACATTTGAGATAGTTGATAAAAAAATTCGGGATAAATATCTGAATTACAGCTTAATGTTGAAAGGTTTTTTATGCAATCTATTGCTCCAGGGTAAGTTGCAAATGTGCTATTTCGAAAGTGGTTAATAATTGAATAAAATTTTAATTCTTTCAAAGAAGCTTGCCTCATAATCATCTTAAATATCTCCTGTGCCACTACGCCTCGTGAGATGGGTTCTTGATTTTTAAAGAGATTATCAATATTGTCATGAATTTCATCAATTGAAAGGCACTTGATAAATGTGATATAATTAAACAATGGGGGTTTTGAGGTTGAAGTTGAAATAATAATTTCTTTCTTTTTTAAAATTTCTATCGATTCGTCGGGAAGGCAAGCGATTAAAGTATCATAATTCAAGATATTTCTCCATAAAATTCGAACAGAGACCTCACACCAAAGTCGATTGACTAATAAGCACGAATTTAGAGTAACTTTGTCTTCCAAATATTCAAAAATTTCATTTAGACAGTCAGCAGGAAGTTTAGACATTTTTGTTTCATTAATAAAAAAATTTCAGTTGTGGGTGAAAAAAAGAAGAGTTCGTTTTTAGTTTAAACCGGAAAAAAGGGCATATTTAAGGAAGTTCATTTATATAGTGTAACATCCATGCAGCATTTTTTTTTTTTTTTAAAAAAAAAAAACATTCAATTCATGTGGTATTATTGCTAAACTCTATAAATTTGGCCCGATTTAATGAAAATTGTGCGGATCGGCCGGAATTGCATGTGAATCACTTACCGAATAAAATAACCTGTTAGTTCACAAGATTCAATCGATCAGCCATCACCAAGATAATGAATTTTCAGAAGTTGGCGAGGCCAAAATTCATACCTACTTTTATGTGTATGTCAAATATATATTATAAAAAAAAATTACATTTGAACACTATCTTCTGGCACAATAGCTTCCAAATTCCTTTCAATGTATTTTGAATCAGGAGGATGATTAATTTCTTGTTCAGAGTGAATGATCGTTTTTACCATGAATACGACGAAAAGAAAAGTACATTATCATCAGATAGTGATCACAACCAACCATCACGATATATAAAAATTAATTGTAAAAAGATATCATGTTGTATTATAAATTCCAATCCTTCTTTTCACGAAACCTTATTTCTATCAAATAGTTATTAATGGGCTTCAAAGCTTGTTTAAACTTTTGCATCACATTCCCCAGCATTTTTCTTTCATGCAAAAATATTTCGTAATAGGTTGTTTAATTAATTTGTAATTTTATTCAAGTGGAACAATATAATTTTAAGTATTTCAGGTGTATTGTATGTAGAGAGCAAATTGGATTCGTAACGTAACAAAGTGATGAATAGTTCAGCTGATAATGTAAAAAAGTCGAATGCTCTGAAACTTTTGGGGAAGGTGAGCACTTGCAACAATAACAACAGGTTTTAAATGTTTTGAAACGTTTTGGGGTATTTCAATGATAAAGAAATGTTAATAAACGAAAAACTTTTGATATATGATCTTTTACAACAAAAGTTTTCAATCACGTGAAATTTTCACCCTTAATAGTTTTGGGATCAACAGGCTGGTAATAATCAAAAAGGAAACTAAAGAATGGTTTTTTGGAAGCTTTGTTCTTGTTTCATTTATTATTCCACTAATATAAATGCAGTCATAATAAAAATCAGTCCAAAATATCAATTCCAAAAAAAAAAAAATTTCAATTCAAACCTAATAATGATAAAAATAATAATAATAATAATAAATTTTAGCACAAATTAACTTTATTTATTTATTATTTTTCTTTATTATTTACTTGTATTAAATAAATATTAAAATAAATTAAAAAATAAAAATATCTTTTATTTAGCATCAATACCCCAGTAAATGCACAGCCATTTTTGCATGGGCCAAAATGACAAATATCTCCAATGGTAGATAGACATCAACCTATTTCGTAAATGAATTTTTGATTGCATCTGCTATAACGTAAAACATAAGTCAAATTCTAGAATTTCTAAATTTCAACTTGATCATAATTCTCTCATTTGAAAATTTCTAGCGGGTCCTTACGATTTAAGAGATTACTAACTCTAGGGAAGTCTAATTACTTAATCTATAGTAAGTAACCCCATCAAAAAAATGATAATTAATTTGTAAAAAGCGAAAACAAGAGGGTTTATTATTTATTTTCATTAAGTAGCACATTAAAACATTATAATAGACAAGTTTAATGATGGATTTTAAAATAATTCTTTGTAATTTTCTTGGACTTTAGGACCGCTTAACATCCCTAAAATTTCTTGGTAAACACAATAACGACAAATCTGCTAACAGTAAGGACTTTTTTAAATAAAACATTTTTCTTTTTTTTTTTTTTTTAAAAAATTAATTAAATAAAAGGGAAGGTGAAATTCATAACAGATGTTTTCAGATAGCTTGACGCCTTCTTAAAGTTTCTATGCGAAATCTTAGTCACGGTCTCCGGAATGGTTATATATATATTTTTTCTTGCTAATTATTAAGTTGTGTAACATATAAACATAACCTATATTAAAGTACAAATTTTAAGTTATAATTAATTATATTTTGAATTCAGAATTTTGACAATGATTTTTAAACGAATTACGTTTACGTAATGTTTCAAAGATGTGCAAAACCATCCGTGCACAGCTTTTACCAAGTATATAATGGACGTGCTACACATTTCGAGTATTAATAAGGTAATTTCATTTTATCAACCTGAAAAGCAAATATATCGTCACTTAAATTAAATGATTTATTCCTCATAGGGGTTCCGAGAAATTTTTTTTACTGCATTATAAAATGTAATGAAAATCTTTTTAATTTTGTTGAACAATTTGATTTTCGAGCAATTAAAAAATTCTATTATACCAAAAACGGGGGGTACTAGTAATCTGATCCGTAACGTAATCTAAAACTGCGTCATTTTGCCGAGGCTGAAATCTTTTAGTTGCATAACTTTGTCTTTAATCCCTCTTATTCTCTCGTTGCTTAACAACTTTACGTCATAAAACAATTAATCTTTTTTTTGTTTTCCAAAATCTTAATAGTACTTTGTTCTTTGACTTGTTTACATACAGTTTGTCACTATTTTCTAACCATAATCGAGAATATAAAGAAATCTTTTCGCTCAAGGAAATCTAATATAAATAAACGTTGGGAATTCTTCTCTAAAAAAAAATCAAAAAAATCAAATCAAAATATCAAATCAATCAAAACCAAGAGAAAAAATAAACATTTACCCATTTACCCAAACGAAATTAAAAAGAAAAATGAACCGATCTCTTCTCATCTTTGTTTGTTGGGCCTCTTGGTCTTTTTCATCACTGATATCTCTGCTGAATGCACTCCTGATGGTGGCGGCTGCAATTGTGAGAATCTCGACGGTTGCTCATGCGAAGGCAGAGCTCAAAGTCGCTTCTGTGGTTTCGAAATAGGTTGCACGGCGGAGGATGATATCTACCAATGCTCCGGAACAGGAGATATTTGTCATTTTGGCCCTTGCATAAATGGTTGTGAATTTACTGGGGGTGATAATGCTCAATGTAAAAAAAAATAAGCAATTTGAAATCGTTTTTGTAAGATGAGGTTATTTAGCTTTCTCACAGTTGTTAAATTGTACCTTGTTTAAAAAAATCTTTTTTTTTTCATTTTGATGATACCTTTTTTTTTATTTCGATTAGTTATTCTTAAAATAAATGTATAAGTAAACTTTGAGATTTGCTTTATTAAATATTATGCCAATAAAATCGCGTTTAAAATGTAAAATTTTACCATTATTTTTTTTTTTTTTTGATTTTATTTTTAAAAATTAAATTATGAAAATTCACCGTGTATTTTTAAAATGTTAATAAACTTGAAAGTAAATCTTTTTTACGACAGAATTAATAATATTTACTCTTTAAATACTTGATTGAGTCATCAAATATGGACTATACACAATTAGTAGTGATCTTTATTAAAAATAAAAAATTGTAAAAAAATTGTACGCCAGGTTACAGAATAAACATCGACGAAATTTCCGAATTGTTTTCTTTGCTTCTTGTTTGAAGCAAATAACACTAGTTAATCAATTTCCCTTTGCATAGCTGACGAAAAAAATAAAAATAAAGTTAATTCTAAATCTCATATTTTGCATAAAAAAGTAAATTGATTTTTTCCGGTGCATTACTCGTTTTTTATTTTTCGTCCTTTTCTCTTCTAACTTTAACATCTAACAACTTTCCTTACGCTAAGCCTGTTCATTTCTGGGCGGTCAATTAATTTTTTTTTGTTATTTTTGTATCGCCCAAATCAAGTCTATTTATTAATAAGAAAAAGGGCGCATGTGGAAAAGACACAAAACAACTACTATTAAAAAATTCATCAGCTCACAAAAAATTTTAATCGTGTAGCACAAAAAGATCCAATCAGTCAAAAAAATGGACCGTCTAAAATTGAACTGGCCTACTTACAGTCAAAAACCGAAATATATATAACTTCTCTCCCGTACTTCGATTGAAAATTAAGAACTTTTTCTATATGTGCAAACACTATTCAAAAGTATTTTCCGATTGTCTAAAAGGTCTGCTGTTCTGGATGAGGAATAGTCATGTATCTTACTTATAACAAGTGGTTCAACTTTTGATCTATTGAATATAATGTCATTTTACAATTATAAATGTTGAATAAAGTATAATGAGTTTACATACTAATTGTTAAACTTGGTCATTTTATAACCGAAATTCATCCAAAAATCCAACTTCACAAGTTCTCAAAAAACAACCAAAAAAAATCTGGTAACAGAATGTATAAAAGAATCCAAGCATGTTACCTTTAACAATGTTGTAATATTTTAACTCATATCATTAAGCAGATTCCACATGACCAGCGAGATAAAGTCAGTCAACAACTGAGAAAGACAAAATTGTGTTTTAAAATCAGAATTCTATGCGCGTTCCTTTTTTCTGAAAGTCCTGTTCAGTAATAAGGTACAATATCATATTCGATATCTCTCCAAAAAGGCTTTAAAATATACTAAAGTGATTGTTTCTTTGTTGATTTTGCCACTTTCACACATTTTTTATTAATTCTTTTATCAATAAAAAACTTCGTATTTATAATATTATTTGTAATGGAAATTATTAATTTTAATAAATAAATGTTTTGACAACTCTTTTATAAAAGATTACCAGCAATTTTGATATAGATATTTCCTTGCTCAAAACATGTAAAAATGTGTTAACAGATATCCAAGAACTAAGAAGTTACATTTTTGTCACAAATTATGTAAAGCGTGTAAATGAATAAATAACACTATGTTTAATAATAATCTATACAAATTTTCCGATTTTTACAATATATTATTTTATTCGAATAAGAAAAATAAGACATGAGATTCGAACTCGGATGAAAAATAAAATAAAATAAATAAACACATGATATACAGCAAAATCTTGCCTTCCGGGTTTTTATAATATCTCAAAATCGCATATTCAATTTTTAATAAAAGGAATCTCATATTTGGAACATTTAACCGCTCATCAAATCAAAACTTCCGAGATGTAAAATTTGCATTAGATCTCCTTATTAATACTACTCTTTTCAATGTTTTTTAGGTATTTTGTGTCAATAACGTACTCGCTTAATAAAATTTCTAAAGAATTTAATTTTTCCATCATTTCCCCCATGGTAATTTCTTTTGTCATACTTTTACGGTCGGATAAAGACGAATTGATTAATGGTAAAATCGATAATGAATCTCTTAATTGGTTTTGCGTTTTTCGTTTAATCCCACAGCAACGTGATTGTACAAATCCCCATGGATGGATTGACGATGCTCCTAACAAAGTTTAAGAAAAAAATTTTAGTCACTGATGAGACTTGAAAAAATTCAAACCACTTACTTACCAAATAAAAATACATAGATCGCTGATGTTAACCCCCAAGCACCTGTGTTGTAAAATATATATATTGTATTATATTGGCTTAGCGTATGATGCAATGTTCACATTCTATAAGTAGGATTACTTTACTTACCACCGATAACTCCAAAAAGGCTCATGTACTAGATCAATGTACATGATACGATTAATTTAAATTATAAAAAAAAAGAAATACCATTGATATAAAAATTCATGCCTACCGTTCTAGATCTTTGAAATATATTATGAAAAATTTAGTTTGGCAAAGAAAAACTTTTTTTGCTTTTATGCGAGAAAAAATTTAAAATAAACGAACATACCTTTGTTCAGTTTCAATAACGTTAACAAATGAATTTGGTCTGATTAGGATAATACCAATATAATCATCGTTTTGAACTACTTCAATATCAAGAGGGAACATCTCTATACGATTTTTTTTTTTTTTTAAAAAAAAAAAATAAAAGGAATAAATATATTAAATTTTGTTCTTCCCTTTTATTTTCAAATAATAATAATACTAATTGATAGATTACGATTAAATAATGCTTTGATATAAGTATATTCGTCGTAATTTAAAAGCATTCCAAAATTACTTCGCCAGCTTGGAATAATATTTTTCCTTTTATATTTCGTAAATTGTACGAAATTTAACTATTTTTTTAAAACAACAAAAAAAATAAATAAATAAAAATAATAATAAGAAAGAAGTAGGAAAGGAAATTTTTTAAATATTTTGAATCGAAAAAAAAAAAAACATACCAATCGATCTGGCATTATAAACCGATTACTAAATAACAACTTTCGTTCATAATTTGTTGCTTGAGAGACATTTAACACTGTTAAATTTAATGTACCATCCGATAACTTTATAGGATTATTCTCTAAATTATATATATATATATATGAAATTTTTTTTTAAAAAAAAAAAAAAAATTAAAACAATTTTATATGCAAGAATGATAATTACCTGAATCAAAAATAAAAACATAAGGCGGCGTGGGATCAAATGTTGAAGCATTAAAATTTGGATCATCAACCAGCACCGTTAATGACAGACTATCTAATCGTTCTTCATTAAGTTTAGGGAAGGTAAATAAAGTTGAATTATCATTTAAAGAAAAATAACCTCGATATTCCCCTTGAATATATTGTGGAGAAGTCACATAATTCATACAAGTTTCATTTTCGATTCTTTGAGAAACCTCTAGAATTAAAATAAATTAAATCATTATTCGGAATGTTTATGAAACATTTCGCGATATTAAATTTAAAATACCATTATATATCCATGTGAAAGTACAATACATTCGAAAAGGATTATCAAATGAAATAACGACATCTATTGTTACATAATTGTCACGGTTAATTTATGGTGGGTCGACGACTCTTTAAAAAAATTTTCCTTTCGTCCAGGTTATTTATTTACCGGGAAGCGCAAGCGAATCTACGGGATCTTCTGAAGTTATAATCATAGGGAGTTCATTATTCACATCCATTATTAACATCGCGATATACAAGATGAAACATGATGCAATTATAAGTAACGTTAATAGACGCATCATAAGAACCACGTTAGGTTCTGATTTACGCTGATTTCCAAGCAAATCACCTAGATTCATTTTTTTATCAAAAAAATTTTTTTTTTTTTTTTTAAAAAAAAAAAATAAATAAAAAAGTAAGACACTTATATGAGATCATGTGGTACTGGCTTAGGTTTTTGGTAACCAAAAAATTTAACGCTAATCCTTAAAAGAATAATTATTTCGGAGACATTATTATTTAATTATTTAAAATCGTTTATTAATTTTTTTTTTTGTTTGTTAAAAAAATAATAATTCTTTTTTAGGGTCATCTAAAAATAATTACGTTTTTGTTACGTTAAACGATTTTAGTAATTGTAACACGACTTTCAAAACTCTATTGTTTCTCTGAATGATGAATGAACACTTTTTAAGTTGATCGTCTTAACACAGTATATATATTGTCTTCCATAGAATAAATAAACCTTTCAATTCAATTAAAACTGCTTTGAAAAGAACCAGATTCTTTATAGTATTTATATTAAAAAACAAATGTGTCAAATACCCTGAAATTTGATTCGTTAATTATACAATTTATCATCTAGTAGGAAATACCCAATAAGGGTATCAACATATTTAATAAAATTAAAACAATGTCAATATTTTAAGTGTTTGGTTCATTAGAATCATTTCAGGAGTAAGTTATTGATTTTTGTGTTGTAAAAAGAAAGAATTATTATTTTAATCTTTTGCAATATTTTAAAGTAATAGGTTGTTAAATAAAAAAAAAAAATTGCTTTCTTGGACGTTTAACATTTTTATATTTACTAAGGTGCAGCTTATGGATGATAATATATATTTAAATGAACAAATAAATAAAGAAATAAGTTATCTATGATGCATATTTATGAATTATTATTTTTTGTTTCTATTTCCATTATGGTTTTATAGCTGGTTTAACCGTTAATTTATTGAGTATTTGAAATTGACAAAAGTGATTAGAGCCAAAAAATTTGTTAATATAAGACATATGGGTTGTAAACCACACTTTTCGTTATGATAAATGAGGAAGATTTTTTTAAAGTCAGCAGCCATCTGGTTTTATTATTGAAAAATCCCAATTGAATTAAAAATGTTTTAAGGGAGAGTGTTTTTTTCTTTCTGTCCGTTAATAAGTATAGTTTTTAGGTGCCTAAGGTTCGATCGATCCAGAAGACTTTTTCTTATAAAAGGAATTCATCATGTCTCGTTAGGTAAAAATACATTTATAAACAATTCGATTTACTTTTATACACTCATCGAAAAAACCCACCCCCCATGAAGATACCGCTCATAAGCTTTCTGGTCGTGACTCTTTTGACTTCTTTGGTTGTGGCAATTGAACCATATTGTGTCATGGCTCCCTTTAAGAGACAACAAGTGGGTACTAGTGTGAACGTGACATGGGATGCTTCGCAAATTCCCAAAGGCCTCAAAGCCAACGATATGTTTTCCGCAATCGTCGTGTGTCGCGAAAGAACATATGCTTCACTCGAGAAAAAATTTTTTTCTTTGATAGATTACGTTAATGTCAATATCATATACGGCAAGAAACTGTTTCCGGAAAAAGATTTGAGATGGCGCCGTATAAGTCGTATATATTAACATTTCATTAGGAGATCTTTAAGGTCGGAATAAGGGCGGTCTATATCTCTGACGACCCTGAACTTATTGGCGCTACCTGCAAAGCAAAAGTCTCCATCCAAAAAGTTACAGGATATTCGTATCCGTTCAGGTTACATCATTGTATTATGGGTTTCCCGAATGTCCTTCAACATAAAAAGTAATCTGTTATAATTTCTTTTTTTTTTATTTTATTTTTATTGAAATTCCCATGTAGTGGAAGTCGTGCAGTGGAGTAGTAAACTGCACTATAATGATTAATTAAGATTTAGAATTTCCTGCCTTGAATTTGAAATAAGATACTGGCACTGTGAAGTGCGAATCTCATTTTTCTTCTTTACTTCGTCAATCAGACTATTGGATCGCTGACCATTAGCATAATATTCACTTTAAAAGGAATAACTGAAATTATACAAATCAAAGGAAAGAACCATTAAAATGGCCGAAAAATCGAATAAGCATTTAAATATATGCATTTAATGTTTATCGCAGTATATATAATGATTTTCGACTAAAAATAAGGTCTTGTGCTATAATCTAATAACATCAAAAACTAATAATGTACAAATACATATCTCACTGTTTAATCATTATAATATTAAGAACAAATCGAATTTGAACTCCCAAGCCTATGATGTAAAGTCATGCAAGCTACTGTATATCTAAATTCAACAAAAATGCAATCTAATCTAATTTATGCAACGAGTGGAACGTTTTTTTTTTTTTTTTTTTGAAGTAAAATCATTCCCAACAAACAGAATTTTTCGTATCTAAATCCACATTTTTTTCTAAATTTTTATGCAATTGAACAAAGATGACTATAATAAATAACATTTCATTGCATTGTAATAAAAAATAAAAAGGATTCAAGTAATAACGTTCAAAAAAGATCGATAATAGACGTTTCCTTTTAGTAATTTCTATTATTCAGGGTCACATGTAATTGAACAAATGCCAAAAATTCAAATTTTTTGACGGGATAACAGATTTGATTATCTCAAATTTTAGCCCTGATAAAACATTCAGTGGTCGTGCCTATCTTTTTGCTTCTGCCTTTGCGTTCACATGCTACGTGTCACGATAATCCCGAGTTGAATTCAAGCAAAAAGGTTTTTATACGTTCATTACAAACTTAAGAATCGTGATCTTTAAAGCTTCATTTTCCAAATCTTTAAACAAAGGTTCGATTGAAACAAACAAAAGATTTGTGCGATATTTTTGTAAAACACATAAAAGTAGTCATCAATTATCAAAAGAAAAGCAAATCTATTTTTCTTTTGGATTCCTCTCATTATGTCTGTGATGTTCTTTGTGCCACATCATTGATGTGTTTAAGATTTTATACAAACAACAAAAACTCTGAATAAAGTTTTGCATATTGGATGATATAATGACGGAAAAAAAAAGGTTTCTTTTTGATTATCGTGATTTTTTATTTTAAAATATTATTCAAATTCAAAAAAATTATTTCACAGAATTAGAAATTCCGTAAGATAACGACACTTCTTCCACGACAGTATCGATCATTACTTAAGTAATGATGATTCACATGGAATAATTTTTTTTTTTTGGGTTCACGTAGTTCAAGATACATAGATAATAATAATATATATGGATCGTTATAAACTCGATTTTGGGAATTGGAAAATCAACCAATAAATTAATCCAAATCTGATAATTTCTTGTTATCAGAATGTAGAAAATGTAAAGAAGTTGCCGATTCCAAATGTAGATGTAAAGCATCTGATTCACGAACGGAAAATCCGTGAAATCTCATTCGTCGCGTGATGGGGGGTGCATAACGAGAGATTTCTCACGCATAAAACGAGAATGTTTCTTTTTTTTTTTTTTACCTCGACGTGTAAGAAATTCTCGTGCTATCGCATGTTTTGGTTACTTCACCTACCTTTTTTAACAAACGCACAAACAATATTTTTTATCTTGACCTATTTTAAAAATTCGATATTGTTTTGGAGATCGTCCCTTTTTCACATGAGTTGTCAATTAAACTTTATTGATACAATCTAGCATTATCAAAAAAAAATCTATCACCATTTTACGCCCAAAGCTTAAAAATAAGCCTTTCTTATTTTTTAATAGGTGAACCCTTGCGATGACGCAATTTATACAGGTGTAAAAAAAAAAATTGTCATCGGGCATAGCAATATAAGCAAAAAGTAGACTCGACAATAGAAATAAGCGAAAGAACGATCGATCAAAGAAAAAAAAAAAAATTTGAAAAAAAACGTAACGCAAAAGAAGTTGTAATCTGCGATACGGCAAATACAGCACAGCAGACAATTAATACGCCAGAATTCTCTTCCTAAATGATGGGATTTCTTTTATTAAATTTGGTCAGGATCTCCAAAAGAACTTGACATAAAAAGAAAATTTTAATAGGAACCCTTTGTAATTCCCACACACATTCAAAGTCACAAGAGCATTCAGAAAAAAGAATCTCAAGTGGTCAATGCTCAGCCATGATACTCCTCACGTTTCAGTATTTTTTTTTTTTTTTCCCTTTATTTTGAAATGAAATTAACCTAAATAAAACATTTCCTAATTAAAAAAATCGATTTCCTTCAATTCCCAAATAAAATAAAAAAATTTTTAAAACGTAAATAAAAAAAAAACCTTTACTCTATAAAGCATAAAAACAGCTTTATCTATGGTTACAAAACGCCATTATTTCTGATAAATAAAATCATGTATAATTGGAAGTTCATTATGAACTGTTTGCTATATATATAAATCAAATATCGTTTTTCTTTGAGATTCAAAAATAAAAATTTTTCAAAAAATAATTTTTACATGCTTCAAATTTTTCAAACTATTCAATATTCCCCAATTTTTTGTTTCATTAAAGTTTTATTATTACCTTTATCAAGGTAAACAAATTCCCGCCAATAAAAACAAATTATCATCAACGCATTCGGTTATTCTGTTTATATTATCTGTGAATTGTCAATCTTGAACATTTTTAATTCGTGGCTGGAACTCTTTTTTAAATTCTTTATTTGTTTTATTTTGTTTAACAATATAAACAAAGTTTTTTTATTTCGGGTAAAAATATAATATTTAAAATATTTATGTGGTAGAACATTGCAAATAATGTACTTTGTCGTTATTATTATATCATTATATATAAGTTTAACTCCACACAACTCTGAAAACTCCGAATAAAAAAAAAAAAAATTTTTTTCTAAAATAATTTTTTCAAAAAGAAAAAAAGAAAATAATAAATAACCAAAAAACCATATTAAAAATATACACACTTACATAAATACAATAAATAATATATCTTGTTTTAAAATGACCACCTACGAAACTAATAATGTTTATAACAACAATGTTTATGATGATGATGAAATGGATAATTCCTCTGAAGCATCAAAAGGTTATACCTCTTCAAATTCTTCCTTTGTTGAAGAATCAAAAAAGAATGATGGCTTGATCGCTGTCGAAGATAATAAAGTAGAAAAAAAAACTAAACGGAGCACGAGTAATAGCTTTAAGCGTATGTTCAATAGCAAGAAAGATGATAAGGAAGATAAGGATAAAGAGAAACCTCAATCTGAAGGTTTGGTTCGTTCTTTATCATCGTTGGGATTATTTGGTAAAGATAAGAGCGAAAAGAGCGAAAAGGGCGAAAAGTTCTTGCGTCCAACTTCTCGCACGTCATCAAACAGTGATAAGAAGAATAGACGTAGCTTCATCTTCTTCTCTGATAATGAAGATGACAATAATAAACTTGATGTGGATTTCAATTTTATGAAGGGTAGAAAATCTAGACAAAATAGTAATTCTGACGCGGAAAAAGAGAAATCCTCTAAAAAGGAGAATCGTCTCAGTCTTAACCTGGGTAAAATTTTGGGTTTAGACGGGAATAAACCTTCTCATAAACCAAACATATGGGATGACACTTTCCTTGAACCTGGTGAAACCGTTGGGACTCCAATTAGTCCAACGAGGAATCATTTTCAAAATGGTTCTTCTCCAACTTCCTTAAGAAATAAACAATTCTCCAATTTTACTTATAGTTCTTCTTACGTTGATTCTCCTGTTGACTCTCTCCGTGATAATCTATCCGGTCCCAAAAACGTTAATATCCCTAACCCTATCAGTAAAATCGACGAAATCCCGTCAAAAAATAGAAACAACAATTCCGAGGTGACTTCCGACGAATCTCCGGATTATAAATCTCCGAGTGATGATGTTCTATCAACAAATTCTTCTTCTTCTACTGTACCAAGTTCCGTTACCGATCAGGAGGATTATAAAGAAGTTCCTTCCTACAACAATATCAGTGGCAATCAACGTAAAACCGAATTCAGTGGAGAAAATATATCTTACGATTACCCTCATCCCATCTCTGAAGGAATTGAAGAAATTGAAGAAAGCGAAAGTGAACAAAATTCTCCTACCACTCCAATTACCCCTCGACTCATTGTCACTGGTTCCGGGCAACACGAATCTGAATTCACTGAAGTTTTTAACGATTCCAATAATCAAAAACAAGTTTCATTTGAGGAAAAGTCGGATGATACAAAAAAATCGGAACAGCAATCTCTTGTCAATTCGACCGTTGGATCGAAACCAAATTCCGATAGGTTGGCCCGTATAAGCGAGATTAAAACTTCAATGAATGTTAAACCTCTTGTTATTTCATCCGTTAATGTAATTCATGATACAACGCATGTCAAACACATCACCCCCGATGTTCAAGCACGAGAAATGGATACCGACAGCACAACCGCAAACATCGTTGAAAAACGAAATCAGGATAACACGACTATCACGAGCGCCGTTACCGCGCAAGTTTATGATAAAGATCAGGTTGAAAAGAAATCATCAAATAAAAAACCATTTTTGCTTTCAAATCTCAATCCATTTCAAGATAAATCTATCAAAGAAAACAATTCCCATGAACAAGTTTTGAAAAAGGTAAATACTATTCTTTCGATATTTTATTTCTGATCATCACGATTCCACGACTTCTTAACTAAATATAACCTAACTTTATAGTTGAAAGAACTTGAAGAGACTAATAGATCTCTTACTGACGCCAAAACAAACCTTGAAACTAGAGTTGCGGAGCAAAGTGGTCAAATTAGCAAATTAAACTCGATGGATCAAATTATGCAACAGCAATTTGATGTTTCTA